ATGCGTGTGGAACTTAATTCTCTCATTTTGGCGTCGCGATGGAGCAATTAATCATGCCTACCGGAATGGAACCACTGGATGTTAATTCGACTGCGCGAAACACAGAGGATTATTTGTTTCGATATATGGTGTCTCGCAAAATCTGATGTGGATGATAAGAAACGCAGGGCATATTTCCTACATTTGGTTGGCAAGGATGAGCACACGCCGATCAAGAATTTGGTTTATCCTGATTCTTTAATCGATGTTTCTTAGAATGCATTGAAGAAAAAAAGTTCTTCAAGACTTCAAATCAATTAACTTCATAGCAGCCGAAAGAGCCAGGTTCAATATGTTGACTCGCTCCTATTCTCGGTCGTTCCGTGAATTCGTATTGCAGCTGCAGACACAGGCAGCGAAATGTGATCACGGTGTCCAAATAGATGACCAGCTGCGTGTTGGGCTCATTGCTGGCATTCAACTGTTCGAATTACAGCAGAAGCTGCTGCTCTGACCGGATCAAAAGATCGGAAAATATGTGAGCGATATGAAGATGTTGAAGTTTTCTAAGAGGACTAATTCAAGGTTGAAGAAGGACAAAAATTTAAAAACTCGAACAAAGTCTCGTGCCGAAAATCCATCACTACGCGACTTCACAGATTGTATGCCTAATTCGGTGGTTCGGAAATTTGGGAAATGTGAATCTGGTGGACGAAACCACTCCGGATGATCATGTTCCCACAAGCAAGCGAAGTGTTTTATCTGCGGCAAAACGGGACATATTAAACTTGTCTGTAAGTCCAAAAAAGTGTGTCACTTAACTTTAGATTTAAATACTCACTTGAACTCATTATCTGAAGACATCACTACTCTTTCTCTATCTATTTTGTCCTCGAATTCGCGACATGCTTGCTTCTGGTCAAAAGCATGACTTCATTGTTGATACTGGTAGAGTTGAGTCCATTATTCCACAATCAGACCTAACTGCCTTCTACCCCGGTTTCGTAATAGTGCCTACTGATGTTAACATTTGTGGCATCACTGGAAACTCTGTACCTTCAGCTAGTAGTTGCACGATCCGTGTGACATTACCCCATGGTACCCCTATCGATTGCAATTTTTTGGCTTCAATCTCGGGACCATCGTTTATCGGACTCAAAATTCTGCGTTCGTCTCGAACTATTATCACGTTATTGACTTATGTAAATGAGAACGAACACAAAAAGCCGATTCTTGAGTGTTCTAAGGCTATAGATAGCATGCAAACACCCAAGGGGAGACTCGACGTTACACAAGATCTCATATTTCTTAAGAAAGGAATTATTCCATTTGGTCTGTGCAAGCCTGTTCGTCGAGCGTTAAATTCAGTGCGTGCGAAAGGCTGATGGTATTACTCTGAGAATTCTTGGTGACTGCCGGCGGACGCTAAGTACTCGGCTACTAAAACGCACATGCACTACGAAAGAGCCTGAAGATGTACTCTATCGTTTGTCAGGCTCAAGTACGTTTTCAAAAATCGATCAAAATATGCCTACCTTCAGATACCACTGGACGAATCCTCCAGCAACCTTACCGTGATCAAAACACCCTTTGGGTTATTCCGACACACTTTTCCGTTTGATGTGAATGCCTCGACGGCAGTATTTCAATAAGTTGTGACTGCTATTGCAAAAGATTTGGAAGGTGTTGGGACATACCAAGATGACTTCACAACGCACGCTGCTGAAAAAATCACTCATGACATGTGTGTTTTGTCTTTACTAAAAGGATTTTCTCAGTTCAATGTGGCTACTCACCCTAATAAATGAACTTTTGGTATTCCGCCATTTTCATGCATTGGCCACATTGTGGATGGTGGCAGTTCTAAATCTGATACATACCGCCTATCTCCTTCATTTAAAAACGCGCCATCCCCAACCAATCTACAAGAACTGCGTTCAGTTCTAGCAGAACTTCAGTATTACTCTCGTTGCATTCCTAATTCCGCCAAACATACAAGTAGCCTGTTCGACGTCATATCCGCCAATCGATTTTCGTGGTCCTCCAACCATGAAAAGACTGCGTGTTCTGCTTCGTTATCTTCAAACTTCAGCTGTCTTGAAATCATTTTAAGCCAAACATCAGTCGACAATCTTTACTGATGCGTCTCCCACTGGAATACGTGCAAGCCTTGAAAAATGTGGTATGCCAGAGACCTGAATTTCCCGTCCACTTTCAAAAGCCGAACACCGATGTTCTCAGGCTCAAGCAGAAGCACCTGCGGTATGCTGGCCTCTCTCAAACTTTACAATTGCTACTGATCACCAGGCTTTATAGTTCTTGTATCATCCAACAAGGTATCTAGCGACGCCAGCTGCCGCTATAGTGCAACGGCGGATTATTGCACTGAATTCGTGCACCTACGCGATTGTTCATCCTAGTGCAAAAAATGATTCCCCGTGCCGATTTCCTGTTAAGAATTCCATCATGTGACTGATTCAAGCAATTCTAAGTGTTTCTTGATTCAACCATTAACAGTCGAGCGAGACGCGCTTCTTGCTGACATTAAAGATATTTTGCACCCATTTTCTCTGCACTGGAACGTGGATGGACGCAGCAGGAACGACGCCGATTTTTTGCTTTTTACTGTCGGCTCGAAAGCTTGTCCCTTACTCCGGATAGTTTGTTGTGTTTTGAGGATGGAGTTGTCATTCCACCTACTTTGAGATCGGCTGACCTTACAAATTTGCACACTGGTCATCTGGATGTTGACAAAATGAAATTCCCCGCACGCTTATCATGCTGATGGCCGGAACTGGAGGGTGCCAACACATATACAACAAAGGATTGTGTTAAATATGCATATTAGTTTCATAACTTCATAACAAGTCTTCACAGCGGCCAATTACTTGTGAAGCATTTCAACGAGTTCAGACCGACTACTGCTGTCCCTTTCTCAGTAAAACTATGTTTTAATTGTTTTTGACGCATATTCACGTTGGCCTGAAGATTTTCTAAATAAGTCTTTAAGTTCCGAATTCACATAGCAAGCGTTGAGGAAAGTATTGGGCAATAAAGATATGCCAACTGTTTTGGTCACTGACAACGGCACACACTTCACTGCAAGACCCTTCGAGGAAAGGTTAAAAGGTCTTGGATGTCGACATCTGTTCACTGCACCACGAGATCTGCAGTTGAATTGGCTTGCTGACAGTTTTGTCCGAACACTGAAATCTGCCATTATTTCACTCTCTCCTACTATTTTGTGGAATTGAAGCGTGTGATTGAGGATTTTCTAGTCCAATACAGGAATGGCGTTCATTCCGTTACTGGGAATAGTGCGGCACTTCTATCTAAATCTCGTTCAATGCGTACAATTCTTGACTGTGCCAGAACGACTAATGTCACATTTTTCAAGGCCAATAATTTATGACCTGCCGCAGATATAGTGCTTTCGTCAGATGGCAAACGGATGGATGGATTTGGATGACATCTCTTGACATCGGAGACATATTCATAAGGTCGATTTCAGCACCAGATGGCACTCCTGCTTTTTCAAATTCTGATGAATCCTTTGTAGATGATCTTATGGTATACGAACGAAACGTTATACCTGAAGAACACAACCTGTGAACAATTTGAATTTCCCATTTCGAGAAGATCCGAAAGATTGCGATCAAGGCTACAACTGGCCTGAATACACTCACTCAGGGTGTGGCGGAAGTGATGTATGTGAATGGTGCTTTGTTGATTGCTCTACTCTATTCTCTTTTTTTAGTATTTCATGTGATGTGCATATACGTCAATTCGAATACGTACATGCTGCTTGTTACACTGTGCTGAATTCTGGATTTACAGTTTGCTTGGTTATACCGATATATGTGCGGAACTTAATTCTCGCAATGTCGCCAAGTATAGATTTTTACAGCAGTCTGTTCTGAGTACGCTCGAAATCCCAAACGTCCATCTTCGCAATAGAGGTTGGTGTCGTAGTGGTCTGGCTACACAAATAAGTTAGTCTACCAGGAGTGTGTGGCAAAGGAAAAAAATAATTACGCTAGATTGGGTTTACAATAATAAAGCGATCAGATGAAAAAGACGCACCAATAATTGTTCTCTTTAAAATAGTTCGTCGTTGGCTCAGGTCAGCAAATAAACAATAATCCAGTTATGGTGTTCCGGGGGTGTTCTTCCGAACAGTTCCCACAAATAATGTATTCCGAATATGGCCTGACATGTTTTGATACCAGAGTTAGCATACGGGACTCGCGAGTGAACGCTGCAAGTGCGAGCGAAATAAGAAGAGTGAGCCGAAGCCTGTGACCACGTTTGTGTTGCGTGAAGTTGTAGAAGTGCGCAGTTTTGCAGTTTTTTGTATTCAAACAAAAAACGATTATGCGATTCACGATAACCTTAATCACATGCGGCGGATGTAATAAAGCATATGGAGGAGCAGAGAATGTACTCCTGGTATTCCGATGGTCTCAAAAGTGACAACATCAGACTCATTTACATTACGCCATCGGTAAAACTCATTACAGTAGGATCGCTGTACAACCAAGGCAATTATTACGCGGTATGTTTAATCTCGGAGTTTGGTGGAAAAAGAAAGAAAGAAAAGTACGACACACCTGCTACTCATTGACAACATATGTTAACGACAGGCAGCCCGTGATGAACTTTCTGATGGCTGGAAAATAGTAGACTTACGGGCTAGCAGAAAAATTCTGACGAATTTTGTGTACGCGAACTAGAAAAAGATATTCGACTTACTCGATCACAATATTTCACTAGATGCTATCGGTAACTATCGGTGTTATTGTAAAGAGCCATCCACCACCTGTGGATGCCGCATCAACTCACACAAATGACAACCAGTGTCGAGAATTAATATCTCCCGAATCGGCCCATGTGAACATGCAATCAGATGTAACAAGCGCCAGGTGTCGTAGAAGGTTATGTACATGATTTCTGACTGCATCTTTCAAGGGGATTTAGGGCCAAGGCGCTTGCCGTCAAAAAACTCAAGAAACTTGCGGTGAATGCAGGACGACAAGATCGTCTCAGCCGTTAATCAGGTTGTCGAGCTTTGCAGCAAAATGGAGCTCAGACCTACTCCATTGGCAACGACGGTGAGTGGTACAAACAGCCACCGGATGATCGCTCGTGTACTTCGACAGATACTTCCAAGATATGATAGTGCCAGGGTACATGAGAGAACGTATGAAGCATATTCATGTGTGGATGGCACACTTCGATTGAAAAGTAACAACTGCTGATGCATAATTACGGCAGTCCAAATATGGAACTTTAGAAAGCATCAGCGTAACCTGTGGTAATTCATCCCGATAAAAATTGTCGGCCGCTTTTTGTTGCACACAAGAACCGCCAACAATAGATCCTGATTGCGGAGATGGAGGAACGATTACCGTAAAAATACGACGTGGAATATTGCTGGACGAACCTTACCACAATAATATCGCTCACCCATCTCTGTATGAGAGATTAGCGTGAATCGTGGACGAAGATGATGATGACCGACTAATACCTGCTCTCACCCAGGGTGATCGGGAGCCTAGAGTACGGCGGCGCTAGTTTTTGCAACGCCACCCCGGGTTTGCTGCTGCAGTACATTCCGAAATTTTCACTTGCCCCGTTCAGGAGCTTGATGCCGCCGTACTGTCGCTATTCACATTGATTCGGACATCATTCACCTTGAAATTTTCGCGTGTAGTTTTCCATTTTTTAATCCTATCCTCGCCCACAACCCGTTCAGAGGTGTGGTGTGAATAAACACTCAAAGGGGAAAATTGTACCCTCTTGTGGGTGGATTTTTCGTGCACGTTTATAGTGAGATGTTGACAAACACATGAAACAATTTTTAAATTTTGGATTGAATTCTGCTTCATTATCACTAAGTTTTCGTCCGTTTATTTTGCGTTCCTGCTTAATCGCTATACACAGTAACCCTGAATCGCGCACCACCTCCTGGATTAGTTTTCCGCAAATATTCAAACAAGCAGATTGAGTATATGTCGCGTGTGCGAATTCAATCCATGGCGTGTTACAGTTGAACCTAGTATTGCTCGTTCAGTAATCAAATAAATAGCATCAAAATGAATTTAAATATCCCCATGAACAGTTTCACCAAATTACAATGAGATCATTTTTCACCGGTACTAGTGTGCAAATCATGTAAGGTGCAAATCGTTTCTGAAATGTGCCGCGATGAAGGAACCATCCTTGCACAGGACAATTCGATCTATTCGGTAACGGAACTCTATATGTGTGAATGCGTGATTCCATGTAGTACCACTAACTACGTAAATACGCTAAAGCATCATCACATACATTGTGAAAACCTACAGCGAGCGAATAATGGCACACTACTTGTGGCACCAAAGTGGAAAAACAGATGACGTTACTTTGTGTTCACTGTTGGGGATAATACTAAACATTCTGGCGATTTGTGTATTGTTGAAGTGATATTACGTAGAATTGCTTGTCTCATGCCATGTGATACCGTTGAAAGTAGGCTGACGTGGATTAAATCGCAGTAATGTAAGACGACCACATGGTCTAATAAGGGTTTCTGATTTGCGTGTAAAATCCCGTGGGTCTATAAACTTGAATTTTTGGTGCGCTAGATGTTCTTATGTCCAAGTGGGCCAAAATAGCACTGACAGATAAACGAACAACATATACGCAACGACATTAACCTACATATGGAATTTCTGTAAAATTAATATCGCCAATTAGATAAACTGAAGATGAGCCAGGTTCCGCTGATTCCAATGACTTCGTTACTAATCCGTTGTCGCTGTCCGATACCAACAGCGTGTCTGAGAACTCCATGGTCAAAGCTGTGAAGACACTTATACTTTCCATCCTCAGGGACAACGTCTTGCGTTCTACGTTTCGTGTAAAGGATCTTGAAGAGCTCAAAATGCACTCGCATGCCAGAAGCAAAAAATATAAACATTGGATCATTCCCAAAAATTCCTGGGACACAACCTAATGTGCAACTGTATTAGGGGACATCTTCCGACCAACAGCATCTAAAGAAACTAGGAAACCTGCAGTATTAGAATTGTGGGCAGTCGGTAAATTCTAAAGCATGAGGGATTATGGAAATTTGGTTCACACAGCCGCAAATCGAAAAGCGCACCAGCGTTCTCATATTATGTTGTTAATCACTTGGAATATATGAAGCAGCACTTGGAATACTATAAAATATTTCGTGCAATGTGTTGTACGAATGTTTGCGTCCTGAACGACGGGAGATGCAGGTCACTCAGCTGGAATGAAACAAAATATTCAAAAATTGACTACAACCTGTGGGGAATTATTGAAAACTGCAGCATCCGAAAGCACCGTATGCAGGCATTGGAAGCCGTTCCATACGTTTCTATAGCAGACACGCGTTGCTAGCTATCAGTTAGAGCACTCTTGAGTGTCTTTTCATGAGATTCGCTTAGAGAGGTGGACTGTGTTCTTCCAGTCACTCTTCGCGCGGCTCGCTGAGCAACTGCTGTGGGATGCAGGGATTTAGCTATGAATGTTCAAACAAGTGAGGAATGTATCAGGGTTTGGACTTTCAGTTTCAAAACGTAAAACAGATGCTCAGGTGTGAATTAAAAGTCGTGCACAGCTCTGAGGTCGCGATATCCCGAATCAAACTGGTGGCTTATGATGTATGGATGTCGGTTGGTCCCACTGCTGCACTCTATTTGGCATTTGCCGCTCACGGTTGCGCATATGCAGCAAACCAATTGGTCTAGGTCGAAATCATTACACAAAAGTCTAAAAAACAAACCCATAGAAAGTAATATCAGACCAAATCTTACGTAAAGCATAAATTGGAAGCTGAATGGGGCAGGTGGAAAGCGTGAACAGCTAAATAAAAGGGTTGGCCCAGAAGCTGAAGTTGCCGCTGATTTAGTTCTAGCGGGCAGTATTCCATATCGAAGAGGGTTTGCCTGCAAGAAATAATTAACATGGTGTATGTCAAATACGATTTGGTGGAACGTACTGGGAGCATCGATGAACACATTCTTCGTAGTGTTGACACAATGAATGCGCCGCCGAAAGAAACAAACGCATTTACCTATCCAAGGTGCAGCGTATTCAGGTTAATAGGAAACACGCAACTATAATACGAAGTGCACATGAGCGGAAAAGTGCGGCTGTGCCCCAGCAGACGAACCGCACTCTAGAGGGACTCGCGAAAGTATAATACAACCAACTGCATCTCGGTTTTGAAATATTCCACCTCAAACCTGAGAATCCAAACGAGTCTGAAGTTTCCATCGGACGCGCTTGAGCTTTCGCGTGGATTTGACCACTGTGAACGCAAGTGGTGAGAAGGAATAGCACATTCTCTTAAAACGTGAAATATTATCGCCTCAAGCTTTCGCCGAACTATGCATCAACGTAAGCCGCTGCTTCGTCAATCGTTAAAGGGCGCAGTCTTCTCACTTATTCAAAATAAACCCTTGTTCGGACTCAACTGACTCAACATGACCGGCTCATTCGGATACATGCCAAAAGCATTTCAATACCTGGCGGCACGTGAGTTTGAACTTGAATCGCGTTTCAGGACTGTACGTCAGTAAATGCAGACATGAATACTGGCATTGGATGTGTAATCATGCGCACACTCCATCAGCAGACGCACACGTGAAAGAACTCATTCAGGAGAATAAAACAAGTTCATTTCTATTACTTGTGGGTGCATCAATTAACTGGGCATTTTCGGAAGCCCCGCTATATTCGTCAAATTTTTTCTGGATCTGGGACACTACTCCGAGAGTAAGCACCCTGATGGATGGAAAGAATTTCTGTCAGCGATACGTTTGTTGTGGTGGTGGTCTTGCTATCCAATATTTTAGTTTACCTCGTTGCCTGCGGACAAAGAATTTCTGTCAGCGATACGTTTGTTGTGGTGGTGGTCTTGCTATCCAATATTTTAGTTTACCTCGTTGCCTGATATCGGACAAACACAAAAGATGTAGAAGAGAGATCGGCTGAGATGTTTCTTGTTCGCGTTGATCGTCTGGTCGTTGTCGCACGAAGTTCGGACATGTGTTGTTTTAGACGGTAGACGATTCGGGATGTGCGCCAGAAGGGGAAACTAGTTCACCGGGTAGACGTAGAGTTGTACCGTACACTAGTTCGGCTCGTGAACAGTGAATATCCTCCTTAACAGTGGAGCGAATAGCAAACAAACTGAGGGATAAAGAAGAGGACAACGAAGATGGGTTCATTTGGCAGTCAATGCAATTTTGAGGTAGCGATGGAAACGCTCAAACAGACCGTTGGAACAGGGATGATACGCGGTAGTCGATATGTGATAGAACCCGAATAGTGTAGATACCTCACGGAAGAGATTGCACGGAAATTGTGGAACGCTATCCGTAGTAACGGTGCAAGGTATACCAAAATTACTCACCCAGTGCTGCAAAAATGAAAAAGCAACCGTTTCAGCTAAAGTATCCGAAATGGGTACAGCTACAGGTCAACGGGCAAAACGATCAATCATGGTAAGAATATGCGTGAAACCGTTTGATTGGGAACGTGGGCCAACAATGTCGAGATGGACGCGTGCGAATCGAGCAGCAGGAACAGCAAACGAACCGATAGGAGAGTTTGTATGCCGAGTCACTTTACTGCGTTGACAGGCAAATCACTGTTTGGCCCAGGATGTCAGGTCCCTATTCATGAAGGGCCATACAAAGCGTGCACTAATCAACTTCCTGGTTGCTCTGATTCCTGGATGAGAAAATCCATGGAAGTGGTCGAAAACAACGCGTCGAAAGGCTTCAGGGACGATTGGGCGAGCTGATCCGGTAGACATATCACAAAAAATGGTTCCGGATTGGAGGGATAATGGAAGTGAAGAGACTTGAAATGAAGGGAA